TTTCTTTGTATTAACTAAAGATTCATTGTTAACTTGGAAAATGATGAGGAAACAGGGGAGTGGTTCTTAAATACCAGAGTCCTATGAATGCAGAGGGCTTGAGGGTACCTGAGGGACCCTCGAGTTCATGAAGCAATACTTCCCTATTACATGCGGCCCAGTCCCATCTATCTCACTGCATCAGTGGGTGAAATGGGCGAAGTGTCAAAGGTTATAAGATAAATAAGTCCCGGGGGAGAAATGTACAGTGTGATGATTATAGTTAAGAATATTAGTTGTGTTTTTAAAGTTGCTAAGAGAGCAGATCTTAAGAATTCTTATCCACCACCCCTCCCCAAATAACCCCCCACTGTAACTATGTGTGGTGGATGGGTTAGCTAGACTTATTGCAGTCATTATTTTGCAATATAAACAAACATCGAATTTAGTTGGTACAGCTAAAACTAATATAAGTTCATGTCAATATATGTCAATTGTATGTGAATTTAATAGTTGGTACAGCTAAAACTAATATAAGTTCATATGTCAATTGTATCTGAATTTAAAAAATGCTGTTTGAGACCCATCAGTGGGTTGTAACCTGTGGACTGTAAACACCAGCCCACAGGTCCACTTCTTAGCGATGAATGGGGGCTGCCAATGGTCCTTCTAGTCCACCTGGAGGGACTCAGCTCCACATCCACTTGCAAGGAGCCCACCGCGACCCTGGCTCAGACACACCTCACCCTTTCCTGCAGCCACGCCTTTGCAAACATGACCCCTCTCCTGGATGGTCTTTTCTAGTAAAACGCGCATCCTGTGGTCATGAAGGGCTTTCTCTTGCCTCGTCAGCTGTGCCCTCCTCTGTGCTCTCAAGCCATCGAGAATGAAAAAGTTTCACTCCCATGAATGTAATACATGTACAGAGTGTACAAACTCTAAGAAAGCTACAAGGCTTAGAGTAAAGCACAGGCCCACTGCACTCCAACTCCAGCTCCCCCAAACCACCACTCACAGTTTCTCCCAGCATTAACTCTGCGTCTCACTCCTTACCCATAAATAACATGCTAATGCTGCTATGTATTTCAATGTAAATGCTATCAAGCACTTCCTATGATGAAGTGTGAATATTTAGCTATTTTTACTGCCTTCCTTTCTCTCCTAATTGTCCTTCCCCCACTATCGTTACATAAAGATTTTTAGTTGAAGAACATTCATTATGTACTTGATAATGGTGATTAACATTGTTTACCTTGGGTTATAGTTTCTTCTTGTATGCCTTAAATGTTTTCTGAAATTAATAAATACTTTTATTATTTGTTTTCTGACAAGGTAACTTTTAGGCAAACAGCTGAAAGAAGAAGAGGAGGGAACCACGGGGAGACTTGGGAGAAGAGCATTCCATACAGCCGATTTCTTGTTCAAAGGCCCTGGATGTGATTGTGCTGGGAGTGTCTGAGACACAGCCAGAGGTCCATGTGGGTGGAGAAGAGTGACAAGAGGAAGGGGAGTAACTGATGTAGTAGAAGAGGTGGACTTGGCAAAATCACGTAGGGCTAGTAGGCCTGGTGACAACTTTGGATTTTATCCTGAATATCATGGGAAGCCAATGGAAGATTCTGAGCAGAGGGATGACATGGTCAAACTGCTGTCTCTAAAAGACACTCACAGTGCTGTAATGGGCACAGGCGTCACTGTAGCGGAGGTGTAAGCGGGAGGCCAATGGAGAGGCTATTGCCGCAGTCCAGGGAAGAGACGATGGTGGCTTGGACCGTAGTGGTGGCAGTAGAACAGACCATTTGAATTCTGGATATATTTTGAAGGTAGAATTGGTAGAATTTGCTAATAGATTGGATGAGAATGTGAGATAAGAGCCCATTAATTCCTATGTGCCCCTTCCCATGTAATAAAGAATAGAAATGGAGGGATCAGGAACTCCAGTGACTTGTGCCAGGCTACACAGCTGTTTAGAAGAAAAGTACCTATGACATGGCCTGGCACACAGTGCTGTTTGAGACCCATCAATGGGTTGTAACCTGGCACACAGTAGCCACTCACGTTTATTTTTCACCAATAATCAATCAACTAACTAACCACCCAATAAATTAACTGAGAGTATTTATGGGCATTCACATTGTTTCCAGTTTCATGAAAACAGAAATGATAACACTTGTTATAATGACATCATCAACAACATTTACTGAGTGGCTGACATCTGTTAGTTACTTTTCATATATTGTTTCATTTAATCCTTATAACACCTAATGGGAACTATATTACTATTACCTCCACTTAACAAACAAAGGAAATGAAGGCTCAGAGAAGATAAAATCACTCCCAGAGCCACACACAGTAAATAGACCAGCCAATATTTAAACTCAGCTCATCTTAGACCAGTGATGGCGAACCTATGACACGCGTCAGAGGTGACACGCGAACTCATTTTTTTTTGGTTGATTTTTCTTTGTTAAATGCCCTTTAAATATATAAAATAAATATCAAAATATAAGTCTTTGTTTTACTATGGTTGCAAATATCAAAAAATTTCTATATGTGACATGGCACCAGAGTTAAGTTAGGGTTTTTCAAAATGCTGACACACCGAGCTCAAAAGGTTCGCCATCACTGTCTTAGACCTTATGCCTGTGTCAGAAGACCTTATGATGTGACTAGGGGACATGACAGGAGGGTGTATTAGCAAAGCAGTGCATCTTCTGTGCTCTAAAAACTGAATATGTTTGATTTTGAAATATGAGTAGGATTAAGAATGAGGCGAAAGAAGAGAAAATCCAAAATGCTGGGGTTGGGAAGGGTACTACAGTCTAATCAAAGGCTGAGAGATTGATATGGATGCCACTGCGAGGGGTCAGAGAGAAGCCTGGCCTGGCTGTATTATAAGGTTCCAGCTGAGAATTGGGTTACACCTCCAGTTCCTGGCCTACCCAATGATACCCAAAGTTCCCAGTGGAGAAACTGTGTTTTCTATTAATTAGGGTAGAGGCCAACTTAAGACCTTTATAGGCCCTACATAGTTTTAGGGAGTCCCACCCCACATCATAAAAATATTAAAATGCATTCAGAACTTGCATTAAATACAATTTATATATAACTATACACAACAGCAGGATTTTACAATATACCTCATTTAGTCCCAGATTTGCTGAGGCCCCTAGGACAAAAGATATTAACTTCCAAAGTGAGGTGAAGCTATGCAGAACCAATAAAAAAAAGGTTTCAAAAGCCTTCACTTACATTGAGGGTACAAACGAGCCAGAATTTTGGAGGATAAGGGAGATCTTTTAGTGAGAATTGTTGGTGAGTCCCACTCATCTGCCTTTAAGGGAAGATATGGGCCATCTGCCCCTTCCTTTCACATCAAGTCTAGAGGGAGGGACTTTAAGGAGACCACTCAGAAAGCTTAAATGTTTCCCCCATAGTTTGAGCAACACAGCGGTCTGGAGGCTAAGGTATAGCCCTGAAATCAAGTGTGTGACAATAGCTGGCTAGCCTCCTGACAGTGGAACTAGGACAGTGTGCTGCATGCATGGCCAGCACCCTCAGAGCATGTTTAGAGAAAGGAGGCACAGGTGTCCCCCACGGACCAAGATGCGTGCACAGCACACCTGGCATAGGCTGTCTTAGACTTTGACCACGACCTCCATGTGAAGGGCCAAGTGAACTGCTAGACTCTCAGGAGAAAGAGAAGAAAGAAACCTTCGGGGGAAGACATCACAACAGAGAAAGTGTCCGTTCCTCTCTGATGCCAGCTCCTGATGACGTGAGCCTGCCTGCACTTTTCTCTCTTTGCTCCCTTTGCCCCTCAGCCATGGTTATCCCAGTGTGAAAGGAGCTGAAGTGTGAAAAACAATAAAAGGAAGTAGCTAACCACATGTTCCCTCAATACCTGGAATAAATTTAAAGGGAACCAAACAAAGTGCTTTATGAATACAGCTCAAGAGTCATGCTTGTTCCACCAAATGGTTATGAATATGAGTTAAATTTAGTTGACACATAGTTACATGTTGTTGACAATTGAATGCTTGCTAATTTTGATTTTGTAGATTTTTAAAAGTATTTTGGAGACAACACCTTGTTTTACTCTCACATCTTAAAATATTTTCATAGGGCCTTAAAAGCCTTGTGTACCTGATAGTACATAATGGGTAGAATGGCCAGGGGATGTATGGCCAGAAGATCTCTGGACTTGGATTATAAAGTCTGGCTCCAACATTGAGGTTTGTGACTCCAGGCAAGTCAGGTCTCATCTCTGGGCCCTGCACAGGTTGACCCCTTCTGTCCTGAATGGCTCTAAGACTCACACCTGTGGGGTTTTATTGGTAGCTTCTGGGGACTGACATAGTTCATTTAAATAAATGTTTGTTAGCTTAATGAATGAGCTAGTGACAGCTGGATCCCACCCTAAGCTCTCCTAATGTTGCCCTTGTGTCTCTTTGGATCACCAGGGTACCAGGTTGCCTTTGGGAGAGAGGAGGAATCTGCTGCCCTGAGGGTGGGCAGGCACTGCAGACATCCTACCTTATTTATTTTTTATTTTTTGGTTTCCAAGGATTTTTTTTACCCTTTATTGAATAAGATATTACAAATGTGTCCTTATCCCCCCAATGTCCCCTGTTCATAGCAGCACAATTCACCATAGCTAAGGTTTGGAATCAGCCTAAGTGCCCATCATCAGATGAATGGATTAAAAAACTTTGGCACAGCTACACAATGGAATACTATGCAGCTGTAAAAAGGAAGGAACTCCTACCATTTGCAACGGCATGGATGGAGCTGGAGAGCATTATGCTAAGTGAAATAAGTCAGTCAGAGAAAGATAAATATCATATGCTCTCACTCATTTGTGGATTACAATGAACAACATAAACCGATGAACAAAAACAGATGTAGAGACAGAGAAGCATCGATCAGATGCTCAAAACTCAGAGGGGAAGCAGGGGAGGGTGAGGGTGAAGGGGAAAGACCAACCAAAGGACTTGTATGCGTGCCTATAAGCATCCTACCTTATTGAGGGTGTTGAGAGCTGCCTGGGCTGCTGTGAGTGCGGGCTCTGCTTTGGCCAGGTCTTCTTCACAGTCCCTCTGCTTCTGCTGCACCTCCAGCATGATGAGGGCCACCTTCCGCTCCTCCTCGTCCGCCATGGCTTTCTCTCGGCTCACCTTGTCGGTCTCTATGCCCACCTCCTGAATCAGCTTGTCTGCATCTTCATTCTTCTGCTTCAGCTCCACTTCCTGCGTGGCCAGCTTGGCTTTCAGATCATCCACCTGCAACGGAGAAGCACCAGGCTTATCGGGAGTCAAGGGACTTTGGACACAGCCCTGGGGATCTGACTCTGCAGAGCAGAGAAGAATGCCAACTCTTCTCTGATGCGAAGGTGCAAAGCTAAGCTCTTAGCTGGGACCAAGCTCCCAGACCCGGGGAAGGAAAGGAACCTACAGTCAGTGTGGTGGAAGGCTCTAAGCACACACACTGTCACCTGTCATTCTCCTTGATGCCCAAATGACTCAGGCTGCTTCTCACTGATATGGATGCTTGTGTCTCATAAAAATTCATGTGCCTAACATAATATCTTGCACATAGTAGGCCCTTCATGAATATGTCATTGTTTAATTGAAATTGGTCATTGTGGAGTATAACAGGAATTTAGGAAGCAATAAAAAGCGAGCCTCTACTGTGTATCCTGAGAGAGTGAATATGTGGACAGTGGCCAGACCATATATAAAAGTAGAACTCCGATCTACACTAGTAGCCACTTGCCCAGGAAACCAACCTAGTACTTCCACTAAACAGCTCAGGAGGCCAGCCTGCTGTCAGTCAGACTTGTAGGAAGTCAGACAGCTGTCTAAGTAATGATCCAAAAGATAAACCATAACCTTTGTAACAACTGACCCAGAATGGCCAAGACGATTGATAACTGACAACTTCCTTAATTTTTGTCTCTGTTTCCAACTTAGGACCAGCTGGAGGAAGTCAGATGCTCACCCCTGATGGATCAGACGGACGCCCCCTTCTAGTCAGCCCGCCTACACCTGCCCCAGCCAACAACCTCCACCAGGGCAGAGCCAGGCCTCCTGTCCTTCCACTGTACAGCTCTGCCTCCTGCCTGTGGGTCTCAGCCAAAATGCAAATGATGTGGCTGACTCCCTTGCGAGAGCAAGCTCTGAATAAAGAGCTTTCCCTTGTTCTCAGTTGATTGGTCTTCATTTATGTCCACAACGCAGTTTGACCAAGCTGAAGTGGGACAGCAAGGGTCTCAATGGTCCAGATGAGCTGGGTTCGCCATCCAGCCTCCACATTTATATGCAGGTTGGAGGCAGTGATAGGAATATCAGCACCCAGGAAACTGTCCATTTCTCAGATCAGCTGGAGAGAGGGGAATGGTTTTTTATGTTCGTTCGGTTCAGTAAATGTGGTGGTTCTGAGGTAGCATCAGCCTTGCCTGGGAACTAGTTAGAAATGCAGGGTCTCGGGCCCATGCCAGACCTATGGAATCAGGAATTCTGGAGCTGGGGCCCTGCAGCCTGTCTTAACAGGCTCTCTGGGTGATTCAGATGCTCCCCCAAGTTTGAGAATCACTGGCCTAGTGTTATGGCCCTTTCATATGCAAAGAGAACACTCAGATCTATTTATTTCTGGAAAGTAAAAAGCCACTGTATTTGCAATAGGGCCCATAAATTACATCCAGAATGACCTCTTGTTTCTCACTTTTCTGCAGTCTATTTCACACAACAACCGAAGATTACTTCAGAGCTCCGAGAACACGTTAAGCAGATTCAGCTGCTTTATGATGCAAAATACATAAGGAGAAATATAAGACGGAGACTGGGGCGTGCCGATAATTCCCTTTTCATGGCAGATCAAAAGAAAATAAAAAGAAAGCAGAAGAAATGAATGCTCTTTAATTTTGTGTATTCATGGGGACTGGAGACTTTGCATTAACCCCGGATGGAGGCCTGCTCCTTAGAGCACGTCCTATATCCCCATGTTGGAAGGTTAATCCATTTCCATCTCCTGTGGCTCAGCTGCAGAGTTCTCTCCACAAGGACAAAGATGCAATTGTAAATCAAAATGATTGAACCATATAATCACTCCAGTCAGCAAACACCACAGTAACTTTTTGTTCCTTTTTAAATCTTGGGAGATTTGAGAAAATTGAAGTGGTTTTTTTTCTTTGTTGTTTGTTTTATTGATTGCAGATATGGCTTCTGACCTCAGACCCAAGGTAAGTAATCACCTGCATGTGAATGGGAGCTTTATAGCTCTTAAGCGGTGACATGGAGTGACAGGAGGGACCTGCCACTCAGAATTAGTCCATTCCCCGCAAAGCTATAGAGAAGGCGTAACTCAGGTTCATTCCATGGCTCTCCTGCAATGGAACAGGGCATAGAATAGTTCGCTGGCAATTTTGCTCCTCTCTGTTCTCTTCCTCAGAGCATTCGAGCTGTCCTCTGGATCTCTTCTTACTTAGACACCCCCACACCGGGAAGGGAAGAGTGCCGTGAGCACGGAGGGCCCCTTTTCTCAGTCTTGACAGCTTCATGTGTGGCAAGTGGGGGGATGTTGTCTGAATGGGATGATGACAAAATTGTGGTGGGAGACACTCCCTTCTTCAAGGATCAAGTTCCTTATGCTACAAAGAGATGTCAAGCTTCCCAGGACCTTCTCCCCGGAGCTCTAGAAAAAGGAGAGGGAACCCAGGACAACCAACAGCAAAAAATACTCCACCAAGGGCTGGAGGCCTAAAAATAAATAAATAAATAAATGAATAAATAAATAATAAATTTAAAACAAGGATTGGAGGCCTAGAGGTATCTTCTTTCTTTTTTTCT